GGGCCCACAGCATCAGTTCCTGCCCCGACAGCCAGGCCGGCTCCAGGCAGGGGAGAGCGAGGAGCAGACGCGTCCCTGCCGCCTTTGGCTGTGGCTTCTTTCCCCTAAAAGTAAAACGGGAAAGGATAGCCCGCTGGTTTCTTAGGACCCTGATATTGGCAGCCTAGAATCCGAGGGGACTGTTCTGTTGTTGCTAAAGAGCAACCTTCAATTTTCAGTTTAAAATAAACCCGGTTGCCCTTCCCGGTTCGCGGCCTCCCGGGGAGTTGCTGGGGCGGGGGGGTGGGCGGACGGGGAGGTGGGGGTTGGTGCTGGGAAAGGAGAGGCCCCGGGCTGCTTGGCGCCCAGGCCGGGAGCGGGGAGCTGGCTGGCCGGGGTATGTAGGAGTCTTCTTGCTTCTTTGGCCCCTTCAAGGAGCCGTGGGCATCCCTGAGTAGGGCAGAAATGCAGAAACTCCAGAGCAGATTTTGGGGTGGCTTGTGTGTTCAGGCTTATGTGTGACCCCATCACATGGTGGAAGCAGGGACTGGGGGCATTGAGGCCAGAAGGGTCCAGAATCCAAACACTCGAAATCCTATCTGGGCTTCGCCCCCCTCCTCCTGAGATGGTTTCTTGCTTTTGCGCATGAGCCTCCAGCTGTGTCTGCAGTGGCGGGCAGGGCCATATTCTTGGGGGCCCAGCTTCGGGCTCTGGCCAGGCCGCTCACACTTCAGTGTGCACCCAATTCCCCGGGGCTCTTGCCACCAGGCGGAGGCTGACTCCGGGGTCTGTGGGCCCGAGGGGCTCCTTGTTGCGAGGTAGCGAGGGATCGACCTCATCGCAGGTCTGAGGTCCGCACTCGGCCCCCAGCAGGCCTGGGGGGGAGGCAGACCCCAGCCTTCACTGCAGTGGAGGGAAAGCTGTGAGGGGGCTCCTTCCTGAGGTGCTGTGTGGTGTGAAGGAGGAGCTCGAGGTGACCCCCTCCCAGCAACTCCACTGGGGGGACGTCTGCTGCACACCAAGGCCCGGTGGCGTCCCGGCCACTGTGAGGCCTGTGGCGTGGAGGGGCCCGGTGACTGCACCACAGAACTTTCTGAGCCCATTAGGCTGGTTGGACGAAGTTGGGCCCCCATCGGGCCCCCATGTTTCCCCAGCCCCGGGGCAGCAGAGCAGGGTGGCCCAGGGGCAGGTGGGGGGCCCCCAGGACTCTCTCTGGGGCCCTTCCTTTTCCTTCAGTCAAACTCGAGAAGGCCATTGGCTGAGAGAGCAAGAGACGTGCGCGCTTTGGGGCCCTGGGCTGACTTGGGACCCTGGGGACTGAGTGTGTGCAGAGCGGGTCAGGGATCGGGCCTGCCCTCCAGAGAGCTCCTTCCCTGCTTGTCCGGCTCCCCTCCCTCCAGGGAGCCAGCAGGGGCTCGAAGCTCGGTCATCCCCCCGCAAAACCCTTGGCAGGCTGCTCCCCGCAACATCTGTGGAATGAAGGTGCCCTGCGGACGTTCCGCCCCCTTGCCTGCCCGGCGAGTGACACAGTGCTCTTGTGAGGAGCAGCGGTAAGGAGAGGCTCGGACTCTCCTGCTATGCTTACTTGGTGGCAGGTGCCGTTCCGAGCTCTTCTAGTCTGCACGGCAATCCCACGAGGCAGGTCATTATTCTTATCCCCTTCTTAGGGATGGGGAAACTGAGGCACGTGGTCATTCACTAGGCCTAAGAGACAGAGCTGGGATTTGCACAGCAGCTGGCTTGCCCTGCGACCCGGCTCTTGGCCATTTCTCTTCCCTGCCTCTCTGACATGGGGCAGACAACTAGCTATGTCTTTAGGCAGAGGGGTCTGACCTCTGGGACCCCTCCTCCAGGGGCTGGGGGCTTCCCTCCCCCTGCTACCTGGATAAATTCAATGTAGGCAGGCTTGTCCCCCGTCCGAGCTCCCACTTAGCGGGCTCTCGGGACCACGTGTGTTGATGAAATTCTCTCTCAAACATGAGATGTTCTTTCCACTTCTCTGAGGTCCCTAGAGGGGTCACATTCACAGAGACAGTAAAACGGTGGTTGCCAGGGGCTGGGGGAGGGGAGAGGGGGAGTTGGGGTTTGATCGGGGACCGTTTCAGTCTGGGAAGATGCAACGTGCTGAGGCGGATGATGGTGGTGTTTGCACGATGATGCGAACGCACTTAATACCCCTGACCCGTGTGCTTGGAAAAGGAGAAGAAAGTACATTTTCTGTTTTGTTTTATCACACACACAGTAACGTGCGCTCTTCTAGCTTGAGATCCGGGGTAAAAGGCGAGTACCCCTTGATGTCATTCCTGGCGAGGGGAGAGGAGACAGCAACAAAGTGCCCTGCTTGGACCCAAATCCTCAAGGCACAGAGGGGCTGATGGTCGCCCCGCGGGTCAGGAGCACCGACCTCAGAGTCAAGTGCGTCAAGGTCAAGCCCAGACAGACCCACTGGGCAGAGCCGGTCAGGGATCGGGCCTGCCCTCCAGAGGGCTCCTTCCCTCCTCCAGGAGTGGCCAAATCAGATAATCAGATACCACAGGAGGGAGCGACCGGCACCAGGGGCGAGCGATGCGTTCTCGTGCGTCTGTGACCGCAGACTCAGTCTCTCCCTGGAGAGCCATCAGAACGCGAGGGCATGGCCGTTTGGATTAGTGTCCCCTCGGCCCATCAAAGCTGGTTTTGCTCGGGCAGAGCCACGGGGCTACAGTCAGAGCTTGACATCCTAAGGCCCCCCTCCCCGTTGGGGAACCGGCCCACCGAGGACAGCTGAGGACCCCGCGTCTGGTGCCCCCGCCTTTTGGCACAGCCTCCCGTTCTTTCCTTGCTCAGGATGGCAGCGTGCCCCGCGGGGTACAGGCAGGAAGGGCGCCGGGCCAGGGGAGGGTGAGCGGCGGGTGTCAGGGTGCCGGGGGCGCACCCGGAAATCATGCTGGCCAGGAGGCCGCAGTCTTTCTGGGGACCCACCGCAGAAACACCTGTGTGGTCCTGGTCACAGGGATAGGAAAACCTGCTTCCCAGAAATGGGGTGCTTATGCGGGGTGGACGGAAAGAATTAAGGACTTTTTTTCTTTTTTCTTCATTTCCTCTACCAAGGTTAATTTTCAGGACTGAAGCCCCCTCTTTTATTTTTACAATTAATTTTTTTTAATTTAATTCCAGTACAGTTAGCATATAATGTATGTTAGTTTCAGGTGTACGATGTGGCGATTCAGTACTTGCGTGCATCAGCCGGTGCCCACCATGACAAGTGGGCTCCTCCATCCTTAGCACCCAGCCCCCACCCACCTCCCCTCTGATAACCACCTGTTTGTTCTCTGGAGTTAAGAGTCTGTGTCTTGGCTTGCCTCTCTCTCTCTTCTTTTTCCTTTGCTCGTTTGTTGTTTCTTAAATTCCACATATGAGTGAAATTGTATGGTATTTGTCTTTCTCTGACTTATTTTGCTTAGTATTATATACTCTCTAGTTCTGTCCATTTTGTTTTAAGTGGAAAGCTTTCTTCCTTTCTTATGGCTGAATACTATTCCGATATATCTTCTTTATCGATTTATCTGTCGATGGACACTTGTGAAGCCTCCTCTTTTAAAAGTGAATGCTGGGGGCACCTGGGTGGCTCAGTCGGTTAGGCGTCTGTCTTCGGCTTGGGTCACGATCCCAGGGCCTTGAGATCGAGCCCCGCATTGTGATCCCTGCTCAGTGGGGAGCCTGCTTCTCCCTCTCCTTCTGCCCCAGCCCCCACTCATGCTCGCTCACTCTCTCTCAAATAAATGAAATCTTCATTTAAAAAAAGTGAATTCTGAACATCTGGACATCACAGCTAAGCTCTGAGCCCATGTGTTCTGGGTGGACGCTCCAAGCTTTGACTTCTTTGTTAGCTGCTGGATCTGATGGGTCGTGCAATGCTCCCCTCGAAAATATACCCTGACCCCAACCTCTTTTCAATGTTTCCACCTCACCACTCTGCTCCAAGCTGCTACCATGTCTGGCCTACATCAGTGTGACTGCCTCTTGATGGCCACTGTGTCCACCCTTGGCCCATCATCCCACAGTCCACATGCCGCCCAAAAGCCCCGCTGCCCTCGTCCCCCGCTGCCCCACCCCCTGCTCATCCCACACCAGTCACAGGGCTTCTGCAGGGCCCGGCAGCCTCCCCCAACGCCTTGCTCTCCAGGGGCCCTCCCCAGACACCTGCGTGGGTGACTTTCTTGCTGTTTGCTGTCCTGAGACCTCCCTGGTCACCAACACCTCCTGGCCCCAACCCCCATGGCCTCCTCTTCCCCTCAGACTTGCATTAACTCTGCATCCTCCTCGGCTAGTCTGTGTATTGTCTGCCACTGTTTAAACCCAATTTCCACACGGAAAGAGATCTGTTTTGTTCCTGCTGTATTCCCCGTGCCCAGGACAGTGCATACGGTGGCTGCCCAGGAAACAGCTTTGTTGAATAAATGAATAATCAATGTTCACTGGATCCCGGGGAGGGACGGACAGCTAAAACACTCAGGCCTCAGCCATGTTTGGACAGCTACAAAAGTGAAACTGATTTTATTTTATTTTTAAGGATTTTATTTATTTATTTGGAAGAGAGCGATAGAGAGCACAACTGGGGTGGGGGGGGTAGCTGCAGAGAGAGAGGGAGAAGCAGGCTTCCCGCCGAGCAGGGAACCCGATGCGGGGCTCGATCCCAGGACCATGAGATCATGACCTGAGCCGAAGGCAGACGCCTAACCGACTGAGCCACCCAGGCGCCCCTCTGAAACTGATTGTAAACTAAGTTCCTTTCATTCCCCCTTCCAATAGGGAAAGTAAACGTCCAGAAGAGGGTTGAAACACGAGGAGCTGGGCCTCTGGTGACAACAGTCTTTGGTATGTACCTGAGGGCTACCTGTGCTGGACCGGGATTCTCCAAAGACACAACACAAGAGAAAACCCACACCCAACTTTTTCCCTAATGAACAGACTATGGTTAAGTGAAACTCATTATATAAATTTCTGTGGGAGCCAAAAAATAAACTCTGTAAAAAATGTCCAGTCTGCACATGCTAACTCCCTTCCCTTTCCAGAACAGTGGCCTGGAAAACTGGCCACCACCTGGGACATGGGCTTCGTGGGTCTGTGCAGAGATCCAGCCAGCGTGGAGCCGGGAGCCAGGCACGTAAGCCTGGAGCAGGCCCAGCCCTGGGACAGAGATTGGACTGCCACCCTGTGAGGGGACAAGGGCACCAGGGGGCGCTGGAGATGCGTGCCCAGTGCGCGCTCCCAAGGGGCCGGAGCGGGCTCTCCAGGGCCATGGTGGAGGCAGCCGTCCTGAAGCAACAGGCGCGACTCTTGATAAATCCCACCTTTTCACCTCCTATGTGCCTTCTCCCAAAGCAACTCGGACCCAGGGGCTTGTGTTCCACGCACGGCCGTCGGTGGGTGGGTGGGTGGAGGCATTTCCCACAGGGCCGTGCCCTTGGGTCTGTTCTTGTCGCACTCCCCAGGGGCTGCCCCCTTGTTCTTCACACGGAGCTGGTGCAACCCAAATCCCACTGGGAAAATGACTCCCCCCACGGTGGTGGGGGAGGGGGGGCTGTAAACGCTGCTCATCGGTGGCCAGTGGCACCCAGCCCCCGCGACTGGGGAGGCTTGTCTAGTTATGCTCTGATCATTCCCAAGTTATAAGCAAGTAAGTTATTTAATCCAAGTTCAGGACCCCCGGTTAGCATTGCGGCCAGCGTCCTGGGGCTGGTGAGGGAGGGCTGTGTGTGCATGGGGCGGGGGGGGGGCCTCCCGACAGAGGACCCTGGAAGCCTTACAGACTGGAGCACTGTAACTCGTCTTGCCGTGACCTGGCACTTAGACCGACAGCACGGTTGATGCATTTGAAGCCCTGTCTACAGTTACCTTGCCTTGAACCCAGCTTCCTCCGGAGATGCTTTTTGAGTCCTGGCTTAGAAGATTTGGGTATCTGCCCATCTGTAACTTTACAATGCCAGACCGCCCCTCTGCGTGGGTTCTCCCACGCCCAGGGGCAATGCAACCCCTTCTAACTGGTCGGAGGAGGAAAAGGCAGAGCGGACGTCCCAGGGGGCGCTGCCCAGAAAACACAATCCCTGGCTTCGGTGGTGGCTAGAGCAGTAGACGCGTCACCCCCGAGTTGTGGAGCAGGCATGCGGTCCGCCCACCCCCCCTCCCCATGCTCCTGGACGCCGGCGGCCTGGCCCCTGCGGGCTGAGGTGTGGGGGGCGGACAAGCTGGTGGGATGACAGCAAATCACAGGACGGCTGGCTGCCCGGCAATCTTGCCATTTTTAAAATACAACATTTATTGCTTAGATGGTTTGATACAGAACAGCTTTTCTTCTCATTTTGAATTTGGAAGTACTATACAACTGAATACAAAGAGGAACCAAAAGTACCAAAACCAAACTTGTGATTCTGTTCATGTGGCATAAACCGGTTTTGTACATAACACGTAGCAGCAGTTAAGTTCCCTTTAGAAAAATATGAATTCTACACGTTTATTATTGTTTCCTGTTTAATGCATGGGCTGAAATCACTGGGATCAACTTCCTTCTTGAAGAAAGAGAGAACAGAGACAAAGAGGGTGGAAGAAGGTACGATGCATCTTTTCTGAAACTGGCATCTGACTGTCACGTAGCTTCCCCCCGGGCTGTGTGGAAAACAGCCCCGGGGTTTCTATTTTGTGTTCACAGCCAGGAGTTTCATGTAGTGATTGAATCTCAGCATTGTGTCCATAAATCAAAGAGAAAAACAAGAGAAACACTTGCACCTCAAAAAAACTTTTCAGAAGATCCATATATATATATATATGGATATATATATATACTATTTTTTTTTTTTTGTAAAAGCCCTGAGAGGAGAAAGAGAATCAAACAAAATGTATAGAAACAAATTAGCTGGACATGCAAACTAAACTATGATTCACCCAGAGTTTAAACAAATCACAAATTTCACAGTTTAATATTGGGGGACGGGGGAGGCAGAACGACAAACAAATAATACATTTCTCAACCTCACTAATAAAATGTGGCAAGACCTTATCGACTACGAGGGTACAGATGGAGGCTAAATAAAGCTTTAAATCAATAGTGATTATGGCAAGCTATGGCCCCTGGCCGCACGGCCGGGCCCATTCCTGCTACATCTCACCACGCGCTAAGTCATGGCTTCTCTCCACAGAGTCGCGACGTTTAATGTGGAGAGCTGCAGAGAAAAACAAAACACAAGATACCCCAAATAATAACAACAAAAATAACAATAACAATCGTCATAAAAAAAAAATGAAGGGATGCACGAACTGGTTTTTTAACTAAGCAAACCACACTGGGTATATAAAGTGATAACAGGGGATCATTGGTTCTGATCTGTATTTGTCTAGAGTAAATCAAACCTCGGGTTCAGACATCCCCAATACAGTTAGAAGTCATAGATACCTCAACCTTTTTCCTTTCACATGCAAAGAGATCACGTGTTGTTATCCCAAAAGAATAGAGATCTTCCTTTGAAGTCTGGGCAGTTGGGGTTTTGGCCACAAGAAATTGAGAAATCGGTAAGGAAGTGGGGAGAAAAGGGTCTGTGTGTGTGTCTGTGTTGGTGAGTGTGGGAGAGGGGGGGAATTCGGGGGGGGGGGGGGGCGGAAGGGGCTGGGATGCGGGGAGGAGGGGTGGCCAGGGGAAGGCGAGCGAATCTGGCCGGTGGAGCAGCACGGGAGGCCCCTGGCAGCGCAAGGCTCGGGCGCCCTAGAGGTCTCGGCTGACGGACAGGATGCTGAACGCGAGCTCAGCTACAGTAGGGAAATGTTTCTTGTTACTGCTGGTGGCTACAGTGAGGGAATTCTATCACCTGCATGGGATGCTCATGGAAAAAAACAAAAAACAAAACCTGCCTTTTCGCACCCAGGGGTTCAGGCTATTTCAGGAACACTAGAAACAGCATGTTTCGCTGCAAACACCAACCCCACGTCACAGGAAGGTAAATACAAATCTATTTTTCATCTTCCAATCTTGCATGTGCAGTTTTATTACCAGTAGTAGTAGTACTTCCTCGCTTTGCAAACGACAGTAGCACAGGCGGGTAAGGCTTGGGCCGGGTTTGGCAGGAGGACCGGGGAGGGACAGGTCTCCTCGCTGCCTGGCTTCCTCAGAAGCCCCGGGTGCGTGCACCCTTGCTCTCCCCTCTCTGAGCTGCTCCGGCCCCCGCTGGAATCTGCAGTCACGGAAGAAAGCTTGTCTAAGTACAGTAGAAGAGCTACCACCTGGGAGGGGGGAGGGGGGCAAGGAAAGCTGCGGGCAGATGCCCACACGGGGACCCGGGGGCAGCCCAGGTCTCCCTGGACAAATATTGCCCATTTGTTTCTGCTGACTGCAGAGACCAGCAAACTGATGAACTAATAATAATAATAATAATAATAATATTAATAATACATATACCAAAAGGGGGGAAATCAGATACAGGACATCTGTGCATGTTCTCCATAGGTTAAAGTTGCCAGCGTAACTCTTCTCTGGAAGTTAAGAATGGATGTCTCGAAACTTGAACAGTAATAACCATGTCTAATGCTGAAAACACGTACAAGGTTGAAGCTCGAATCTTTCTTGGTTTTGGCTGGCACCAAATTGGAAACCTTCATCAACCACATCCCGCCATACCGAGGACCAAATTACAGCTCCGCCATGTAGCAAACAGAACAAGAAAAAGGTCTATTTGAGAAAAAAAAAGAACATCTTATCCATATTTCCTCTGGTAATTTACATGAAATTCACATCATTTTCTTCCAGTTATTGGCTATGGGTATGCAAGGGCATATTTTTTTTTCCTTCTGTTTCCAGCTCACAGAACATACGTTACTATCACAGATTCGCAAGAACAAGCTCACACACACCAATACAGAAGGTAACGTTAATGCTTAAATGAAAAGGTCCTCTCCAAGTAATTCATTAAAATATTCGCTTTGTTTTTCAAAAAGTCATTTTGGGGAAACACAACACCCAGGCTGACACCGAAGGACTGGTGAGTACTTAAGGCACTGGAGGTGTGCGTGCCGCATCTCCTGCACAGAGATGTATGGCTATGGCACCGGGCAAGACGGCCCCCTCCTGCTCGTGTCTCTCTCATTTTCTCTCTCTCTCTCACTCCCCGACAGCTGAAGGGCACTGGGGAAACCTCATGAAATATAGATTCAGGACACTCTGCTCTGCTGGCTTTCGTCTGTGTGCTGGGGGGAGGGGCGGGGAGACACACGACGGGCTGTCATTCCATTCCCAGGAGTGGCGAGGCACCGTCTGCGGCCAGGACAGGGTGGGCGGGCCTCTTGCCTTGCAGCTCCGGCAGGTCCTGCACGACGGCCGCCGGGCTCTCCGGGTCGGGGTCACCCTGAGACGCCTGCTCCTTGGGGCTGCCCGCTGGAGCGGCCTTGGGAGCACTCCTGCCAGCTTCAGCCTGGCCGGCACCCGCCGTCCGCCCTGCCGCCCGCTCCTCCCTGCGGCCAGGCTCCTTGGTGGCGTTGGCCAGGCTCTCCTTCCGGCTCCGGGTGACAGCCACGTGGTTGCTGGCTGGTGGAGCTGAGTCGGCCTCGTTTTCCGAGACAGGGTTGTTGCCACTGTGGGTGGACTCGCTCCCACTGTCCTCCTCACCCCGCTCCTCCTTGTCACTGTCCTTCCCGTGCTGCTTGGCGTGCCTGGCTTTCTGGTGGACGCGCTGATGGCGAACCAGGCTGTGCTTCAGGGTGAAGGTTCGCTCGCAGGTCTGACACTTGTATGGCCTTTCTCCTGGAGAGACGGGAGAAAGACGTCGAGTCTGTTAACAGGAAGGCCATCAGCCTCCAGCTCTCCGTGCTACACGAGAGCAGGAAGTAGCAGGGGCCAGGACCGCTGCCCCTAAACCCCCCCCCCCCGACTCAGGGGAAACCCTCCTGTTTGTCTGAAGGGGCAAAATAAGGAAGCAGAAATGCAAGGGGCCGGCCTCGGCTTCTCTCTCCCTTCTGTCTCTCCAACTAGGTTGTTCACGTCCTGATGCAGGTACCA